TGATTGAACAGGAATACTCTGTTCTTAAAACACAGTTATATTATGAAACAGTTCTGAAATTCATGTCTCTTGATGACACACAGGTTATCAATCTACACACATTCTTTAATAAGTTCTGATCTGTCATTATAAAATTGAAGATGATGAATACTTTCTTCTCAGATGTGTGAATATTTGATACCTTCTACTCAGTTCTACTCAACAATTGAAGAAATTATGTTCAGAAGAAGATAGAGAAGATACAGGATTTCAAATTCACAGCTGTGATATTGAATATTGATCTTCTCATAAAGAAGATCTGTTTGTGACTTGATTCTTCAAAAGATAAAAAGAATCTACAGAATACAGATTCTGCAGTCAACACTGCTATAACAGATACAACAATTACTACATCTATTAATTTTAACAACAATACATCAAATTCAGTCTGTGAAGGCTGTACTGAAGACTGTACTGAATGTGATTATGATAGTACTCAAGAAGGCTCTCAAAATCATCAGAGATTAAGAAATTCACTCACATATTCTGAATATGAGAGATCTTACTTTAACATCTATTGATTGATCAATTCAGACAATGCTCTGAATAATTAAAGAATAAACAATACTACAAGAATAAAGAAATTCAAAGAAAACAAGAAAAAGAACAATAGTGAGAATAGAACTCAACTATTCATTACAGATGAATCAGAGATCTATCAGATAACAAACCTTACAGAGGTTATCAATATGCCAGTCTGTTTCATGAAATCTCACAAGAATTCTCTCACTATATGAGATAGTGACACTGAATGTCACATAGCAAGTGATAGATCATGATTTTTAGAACTTATAGCAATCAATGATTCAATAGTTCAAGTGATTAATAAGATCATTATAAAGGTTCAGAGTGTCAGTACTGTATTTATCTCAGTGAATGAAAGATTGATAGAATTCAATCATGTATACTATATATCAGAACTATTCACAAATCTGATCTTCACTGAGCTTATGAAACATCAGAGTTATATTCATCATAATATGCAAGTTAATACTGAGAACTACTTTGAGTTTCTGTTATCTATCAACAGTGATATCTTCTACATTAATCTGTCTCATAATAATATTTACATTCTATTCAACAGCTCACTGACATTTTATGAGATAATGAACAACTCAATGTATGAAGCAGTAACATATGTGACTATTTCAAAATCAAAGACAATCTCAACAGATTACAATTCAAATGCAGAATCTTTGAGACCTTTCAGTCATAAGAAGATTGAACAGTTAATCAACTCTAAGAATTCAGATACTGATTTCTTTATTATCTCATCTTCATCTTAATTATCTGCAGTTCTTCTGAAACAGCTTCTGATAGATGAGTGACATTATTAACTTAATTATATTAGTAAAAATAGTATATTAAAAATGATCAGAGACCTGTGATTTAATATTATTATTATCAGTCTGAAGAAATTATTATTCTGTGTTATATATATTAAGACTAAACAGAAATGTGCTTTCTACAAGAATTCTACACCACATCATATCATCTATAAGATCTTGAAGATTTGAGTGAATATCTTCAGTGATGATGAGACTTTTGAAACTGAGAATAATATATCATCTTACACTGATAAGAAGCTTGCAATGATGATAACAGATAATGTCATCTGTATGAGATGAATATTTCTATTAAAATGCAAGAATGAGATATTGAGATATCTATGAATCTTCAATCAATTTATCAAGAATCTGCTGAGATATGACATTGCAATCATTCACTCAGATTATAAAGAATTGAATTCAAATACAGTTACAGCATATATGCTTAGTGAAGATATAAAATAAGAGTCAACTCTTTCTTATACTTTATAGCAAGATAAAGTATCTGAATGATTGATTAATTTGATTATTAAGAAGTTTTATTCACTATTAATAGACTCTTCAGCTCTGAAAAAGATGTAAGATGAGACAGTTATTACAGTCACAGAGCTGCTTAATCTTATATCAATCTCAACAATATTATATAAAGACTCTGAAAATACAAAGCTAATTACACTGTATAAGACCTGACTTGAAGCTCTATCTTTTACATGCAGTATTTGCTGATGAGGTTGCAAAGCATTCTTGAAAATAGTCTTCAAGCTCATTAATAAAATAGCTTTTCATTTCAAAGAGTTGATTTTTATGAGTTATGATAATCTTATCAATTATAGATTGATGAACCTCTTCAATGAGTATTTATACATATTAAAAGATGTCATCTTTCAGAAGAATCTTCATCTTGTCAATTCATTGATACTGATAACACACAATCTGAAGATTCTACTCAATGCAGTCTGTAAAGCAGCTGCAGTGATTTCTTTAGTGATATCAGATCTACTCACTGCAGTCTGTCAAGAGATTATGACAATTTCTGATCAATTAATAGATAATCTGTTCATTGATGAGAAAATTCAACCTGAGTGTTTATTATTTCTTATACTCACTAATAATTAGTGAATTGACTATAATATCTCTGTGAGAATATCTATCTTTTTAGTGCAGAATACACTGAACTTCTCAGAACTCACAGTTGAATCTGATAACTCTTTAACATCTATAAGAAATATCACTATAGTGAGAAAATTAACAGTGAAGAAATCTTCAATGAGAGATAGTCTTAAAGATCTACTCACTGATTCTGATATCACTACACTTCTGATTCTGAAAAATCTCACACATGTCAAAGCTTTCATGAAATGAAAGTATTATTACAAGATCTGTGTTAAAGAGATTAATTATTTAAAACAGATAAAGGTCTGATAACTGATTAAGAGAATATTATAAATAAGTGTTCTTCACAGTCAATGAGTATTTGATAAAAAGTTCAATAATATAAGTGATATTATCTGCTATAAGATCTGCTGAATTATCTGTGAAAATCTTTAATAGAAGAGAGTTAATTACTTAAGAATCTTTACACTCATTATTTCTGCATTCATCTCACAAGCTCTTATAATAATCTCAGTATTCTGAGAATGATATGTTCTGCAGATTGATATAATAATCATCTTTTTAAACACTTAACTATCTGCTGATGAATGAATATATATAAATCAATTCACAGAATTTCATAAAGACTGTGATAATCTTGTATGTAAGTTAATACAGAGACTCTACAGTCTTAAGTAAGTAGTACTCTTATAATATAAGAAGCTGTGAAAGATGCTATTACACTCAGACTTCTGTGTCAGTTTCTATGATACTGAACTATTTATTTATAATGAAAGACAGATCTATATAATTATCTATATAAATAATATCTATCTCTACAGTCTGAAAATTGAAGATCTGAACTGAGTCAAAGCTGAAATTACTGCTAATTATGAGATCAAGAATGTAGAGAATTTCAACTACTATTTAAAAATGAAAATTAATAGAGATTCAACTTTATTAATATTATCTCAATCTCTCTTTATAAGAAATCTTCTGAAGAAGTTCTCAATGAATGACTGTTATTCTATATTCACTTCTATAAGGAAGAATATTAATTTTATAAATGATAATGAGAAACTGATTATATATATAGCAGAATTTACTCTACAGTTCTATTAATTCAGTATCAGATCTCTGCAATATCTGACATTTAATACACATTCTGATATGAGCTTCACTGCAGAATTTCTTAATCAATTCAGCTCTTAGTCTATATCAAAGAACTGAGCTATATACAAGTATATACTCTGATATCTACAGAGTTCAATCAATGAGAGTATAATTTATCACAGAGATGCTGAAATTGAATCTGTAGTATATACAGATACTGATTGAGCTGATAGAGATTCAGAATTCTGTTCAATCACCAGTTATATCATCTATATAGCAGATGACTCTGTTGTATGACAGAGCTGCTGATAAACAGAGATCTTCAAGTTATTAACAGAGACTGAATATATTGCATTCTCTGAGACTGTATATGAGCTTGTCTGTCTCTGAGAGCTTCTAGAAGACACTGAATTCATCTCATTCTATCTTAACAATCTGAATACTGATAATCATCTCATTCTCATCACAGTCAATGATCTGACTTATATGATTTATACTGATAATAAGTCTGTCATAGAGCTATTCTCTTTCAAAGTAATTTCACACTGCTTGAAGTATATAGAGGTCTGTTTTCACATTCTTCAGAATCTTGTTCACAAGAATAAGATATCTATCTGATATGTTTTATCTGCTAAGAACACAGCAGATGAGCTTATTAAATCACTTGAAATATTCAAATATACATGTTGAAAAGAGAATATAAAGAAGATAGAGGAATAGAGAGATAAAAAATGATGTATATCATGACTGGTTTTTCATTACTTAACATTTTCCAGTCATTTTTTGTACCTGTACTTGATTTGAAGGCGAATTTTGTATATAGCATTGTGTATAGTTACTCTGGTGAGTGGGGGTGTCAGGTCACATGATCTGGCTTACTAATCCTTCCACCATATAACTTTCCACAAGCTAGCAACCTTTCAATGACAGGAGCTTTACACCTTCCACATTTTTCTAATCAAATTTTACGCAACGAACCCTGAATTGCCGTAAATCTGTCAACCTAGTCCAACCACTTTTAGAGTAACTTATGGGTTGCGTGGGAGGGGGGGGTCGCGTTTGGACGGGCCCAAGCATGCTCTAACTTAAGTTATATAACTTATATAACCCGGCTGAAAGTGCTAGTTAAATGCAAACAAGTGAGATTAGCAAAGGTCTTGGGATTGATGTGGTACATGTACACAGACCTACTTGTAGGTAGTCTGTAGTCAGTACCTGGCGTACGGAGTAGACATTCCAAGGTTGTGCAAAACTGACCGGCTTCTGTCGCTGTTACAGTCAAACCTTAATAAACCACTGACTCCAGTGGCATTTACTATGTAGTTAGTCTCCCTACAGAACATTGCAAAATGGCCTGACATAAGACATCGTCCAGGGTAAATTAGGGAGAGAGGGTATTCTTAGAGGACTTAAGATAGAGGTCAGGAACTACCCAAGGCGGTGGCGAGTATTAGTATTATCGGTCTCCGCTGCCCTGCAACTTCTATTAGTGATAATTCTTTGTTTCACAATGGAGTTTCCGATGGAGCCTGCAAGAAGAGCCAGTACTTCCCGCGCGATTTGAAAAGTTCGTTCTAATAGGACTTCGTGGTAGCGGCTTGGAACACATACTTTCGCGCAATTATTTTAGATTGAGTTGATTCAACAGATGTAACTATATCAGAGCAATTTATACGGACACGGCCCCCCTTTTTGATAGGGATGAATATAACTAATGTTTTAGATAAGAGAAGGGGGACTTACCACTGATGTTTATGCATGATACCAGCAAGCCGTCCGTCGATAATACTGTGTGCATCGACTACATAGTATCAACATGACAATAATGACAAGACTTGGGCATGAGTACTATAATCATTAGCCTATTAATGAGCGCAACAAGCTGTAGCTAATAATAATGAATTTAGGGCCTGTTCAGTGTGTTTGTACAGTACATTTTGTACATAGTGAGTGGATGCCACTATTTTGATCAGATCTTGAATAGGCAATGACAAGTCTGTTCTTTTTGAATACAGTCAGGATTCCATTCAAGCAGACTAGACAAAATAGAGCTATTCTTTATTTCTCATTTAAGTTAGAGAGCTTCACTTTTCACTCTAATGGACACTAAAAATACTACATAGAAAAAGTCAAATCTTGATTATTTTATTCATTTTCAAAAATATCATCTGTATTTTTGCTTGTATGGATCAAAACAAGTGTATTTTTTGACTTGAAATCTGTGACTGTGTATGTAATATCTCTCTCACATCGGTGGCGAGGCGTGATAATTCCATACTCCAGAATCCATTAGTAGTAATACTGCTCACAGAGATTTGACGCTCTGCAAGTAAACAAAGAAACGGTGAGGAAGAGGATGGCAGAAGGCGCAGAAAGTTCGATCCAACCCTGTACCCCTTATCTTTAAGCAATTCCCCTGACGCCCGTCAGTGTGCTTTGTGTGTTTTTTTTTTTTTTTTTTTTTTTTTTTTTTTTTTTTTTTTTTTTTTTTCTTTTTTTGCCCGAAGGTCCTGGAAAATATGTAATTTACCCGACCAAAACTTGCGGGGGAAAATTACAATATACGTACCGTACCGTACCATCCCTGAAATGACTCGAGGTTGGTTCGCCAGGTTGTGCCGTTGCCAAGGCACTACTAGCCCCGGGCATGCGTCTGTCATACCGCTGCGTACTTCCACCATAAGTTCTACACCCAATCCACGTCTGTCTCCTCAACTCCTCGCTTGGCTCGCGATCTCGCAACCTCACCTCAAACTTCCATCTCAACCCCCCCTCTCCCCCCCGCGCTGCCCCCATTATTCATTCTGTTTCTTCTCCTTTCCTGTCGTTGGCTAGGGCCTGCTCTCGTTTCTTTGGTCGGGAAGATTGGCCTGCTCTCGCCATTGATCGGATCTTGTTTTGTTTGGACCAGCGCCTGGAACACGGTTCCCGTCCGATGTTATGCCTATCTTATCTATCGTAACTGCGGCACTCAGGCCTCTGCTTTTGGCTAATTGACATTTATACCAGTCGCTATATCAATCAATTCTGCTTCCATCTCTCCGTTGTTGTCCTTCCGCCAATGCTCAATGGTTCAGATATCTGTTTCCTGTCCACCTTGTATTGATCGTTGGTCGTTGCACTCCGTTGCGCAATTGGTACAGGTCAAAGAAAGCCTCTCTCCCCCGCTTGTCGCGAACCAGCCGCTTGTGAAGCGCGACCGGAGTAGGCGACATCATGTTACTGCGGCCAGCAACACCGCTCTCGGTTCTCCTCCTCACAGCCTTTATTCTATTACTGCTCTCTGTTTTGTCGACGCCAGTTATCAAGTCGATACCCCTTGCTAGTGTTGACGATATCAAGTTTGGCATTTTTGGGTATTGTGTAGGCAATGATTGCACGCCTATCCGTGTGGGGTATACTTCGAGTGAGTGTTCGACGCTTTTTTCTTCCTTTTTACCTTGAGTCGTTCAACAACGACCCACGGTTCCTAATCCTCGAACATAATCCTGATCCATTATTTGTTTTGCAGATGGCGATGCGTCCCGAGATGGGGATTTTAGCCTTCCCTCAAGCGTCCGCCATTCGCTATCCTCTCTTTTAATCGTCCATCCAGTTGCAGCAATCCTCACCCTTACCTGTTTCGGCTTGGCAGCTGCGGCTCATTTCCATTCCCCATCTCATTCGCCCCGATATCTCCTTGGTCTTCTCATCCTTCTCCTACCGACTCTTCTCGTATCGCTCCTTGCATTCCTTGTTGATATCCTTCTCTTCGTGCCTCATTTAGAATGGGGCGGGTGGGTTGTACTTGCAGCAACTATACTGATTACTGCGAGCGGGGTCCTCACTTGTGCTATGCGACGGACGCTTGTAAGCCGAAAAGCTCAGAAAAAAAGAATTGCAGAAAATGCGGAAATGAGCGGGGAGAACTTCTATAATCGTCAAAATGTTATAAAATTGGATCCCCCGCCGGTTATACCGAACCAGAACGAGGTTTCCATGGACAGCACGTCTTCGCCGGACTCTCTTCCAGCGTTTGCACGCTTTGAAGCCAATTCGAGGACGCCTGATGATGATAGGCGGCCTCTGAATTCTGGCACCCCAACCAGCACGAGCCCCGATGGCGGAAACAACATTCGCCTCCCAGGTGATAGACGTAGTCCCCCGGCTCATGACGGCAGGCCCTACAATTCTCCGGTGGATGAGTACGGCAATCCGCTTCCACCAGGTGCTACCGGTTTTGGACCACCCCAGATGCGGGGGCCGCGATCAGATCCCAGATTACGGAATCAGTATTCGAATAGTAGTATGGGATCCCAGCGCGGCCGTGGACATGCCTATGGGCCGCCTCGTGGGAGGGGTGGATACCCTATAAGAAGCCGAGGAGGTTCATATCGTGACCCAAGAGGGCCGCCTCCCCATGGTTACGGGATGCACGGCGGAGGAGGTCCAATGGGCCGGGGAACGATGCGTGGAGGTCGAGGACCACCTCCAGGTTACCCTCCGGAGGTGTTAGGTGCATATGCCCCGTACGGGGCGAGTCCTCCTAATCCAGATGGGTACGGAAACCCAGGTAGTCACGCAGACTATGGATATGATGGTGCGCGAGGCCCATCTCCAGTTGGGCCTGGATATACTTCTGGTCAAGATTTTGAGATGCAACCCGGGTTGGGTGCGAGCTCGGTAGCAGATCACGGACGAGACCCTCACATTCCAATGGATAATACCGTCGCTAGGGGGATCGTTGGTCCTCACCCAGAGGAACAAGTTAATCAACATGATCGAAGTCCAAACAGCCCGTACAATGAACAAGTGTGAGTCTGCTAGCCCTATTATAATTTCATCATCACAATTTGGCAGCTAACTTTGTAGTTACAGCGAATATATTCCACCCAGAGCGGCATGGGAGGAACATTTACGGGAACCCACCCTTCCGGTGATCGCACGCCAATCTCCTAGCCCAAATGGCCAAGCATACGAGTCAAGGAGTCTGGAACGTCTCGCTGGAGACACCACGCAACCACCAATCGCGCGTTCCACTTCACGGGGCGATTATTACGAAGATGTTGAACCCCGTTTCTCAGAACCCGGTGATGTGCCTGCTGCACTAACACCCGGCGCTCTAGGTGAGCTACAGCCGAGAACATCCTTTGAAGATCTTCCCGAGGGCGCTCACTCACCCGCTGCCAGCGAAACCAGCCATTTCACCTCCGTATCCCAACGCGGCGTAAACCCTAAGTGGCGGTCTCCAGAAGCCGAAATTAGACGTGACAAGCAAAGGCGACAAGATATGCTACTGGGTAATAATCCAGATTTCGAACTTCCGGCGGTGAGAGGTCGTAGTGGGGGTCCAGGTAGTAGGAGAACACCAGCGGCGCCAGCTATGCCATCCATCCCGGCTACACCGCCACTACTGAACAATGGTCCTAATGATGGCGGTGGTAGATATCCTACACCTACACCTCAGTGAAGCTCTATTCCACTAAACAATTTCGACATTAGCCCTGGATATTTGTCTGGCATATATATTGCGTTTGGGGCAACCGAATTATTGAACTTCTTGTGCTTGATCATATAGCTCCCCTCCGCTATATCGCACAACGAGCTCTGTTGGGGTAAAACGTCATGCAGCAGTTCGATTTTCCTTTGAGTGTTGGAATTATACTGACGCTAATTGATGATTTTTGGTTGCTGCTGTGTAAAATAACCATGGGATGCGCCTCATACCTGAATGAAATACCCCTGACATAGCAAGGTTCTTCTTTGTATCACCTCGCACACACTTTAACTATCCACCTGCAATTTCCCATTGAGCAGCTGCACTACGCTTCTTGCTGATTCTTTACATCCTGGACATTGGTTTTCAACCTTGCCTTTTTGTTGTACTGTATACTGTATATTTTGATCTGCTTTGTTGTTTTATGTCTTACTACTTGAATACCAGTTTCCGCTGCATTCTTCTGTACCATCTTCGTTTTATTCCCATTCTCTTCTCTTTCACAGCCGTTTCAGTTACCCTTCCCTCATCTATGCTGACACCATAGTATATTCCAGCGGAAGCTGGGGCGCCGCAATGTTTTCCTCCTTTTCCTCTTCCATGTTCATATATTTATTCTCGTACCTTTCTTTCCTTTTTTTCCCCTTCCTTCTTGTCTGTTATCCACCCACCACCTCCCTACTTTGGGGAATTGAATTGGCGCACTGGTTTAGCCATATGGATTGATGATTTTTCATGCTTTGTTTTTGGGACTGTAATTTTTTCTGATTTGTCTTGTCTACATACTCGTCTTGATGGAACACTTTGTTCTTATTTTCAATGTCTCTTGAGCAAATTAGGATGGGATGGACAGACTAATGCAGGTTCAATCGTTTTTTTCTTGTTTTTTTGTTGGGTTCTTCTGATTATTCCTTTTGGTTTTTGATCCTTTCTTGTGATTTTTCCCCCACCTTTGTCCATTCTCCTTGAACTATCTACTCACAGTGAAATGGCCATGTGGTCCTCACTTTAACTTCAACATGATTGTTAGAGAGAGATCCTTCTTTCTTTTCAGTCATGATACTTTCATTGTCTAATCTTGAATATCTTCAACTCTCTGCATGTAAAGAAGACTGGGGGAAAAGCTTCATGCTGTTTAATAGAAAGCTTTTTAATTCTCTCTTCATGAACTTTAATCAGATTTATATGTAGTTTGCCAGTTTCTCTCAGCTCTACTGATTTTTTCCTTTCACCTATTTCATCATACGTTTTCTCAATTTACACCCATCCGGTAATTATAGTGGTCGGTCTCCAATCTGTTAACAATTTTTTTTTTCTTCTGATGGTTGTACAGAGTACAGAGTACTACGGAGTAGACCTTAGTAAGCTTGAAGCTAACTCCTGAAATCTATGGCTAATTGGGGCCAGAGCTATGTATGGACTTACTCCGTACAGATCTGCCCTGTTGCAGCAGTGTAGTAGTTAATAATCGAAAACTTGCTTATTCTCATTCCCATTCCTTTGTGTACTTTGTGTGTTAATCATCATATTCCTTTTTTTTTTTTTTTTTTGTTTGTTTATTTTTTGTTTTTTTTATTTTTGAATGTTTGGTTGTCTCATGGAAACTGGTTCTATCGTTTTCCTGGAAAAAGTTTCAAACCCGGCGTTTGCCAAATGGTCTGATTTTGAGGCCTCCAGAAACCACCATCATATCTATCCATCGACTGTTAAACTTATAAAAGTAGGCGCGGAGAAGTCCATTCTGCAATTATGAAGCTCCAAAACACAGAGGACAAAATTCAACTGCCTCTTCAGAAGCGGAAATCAAAAAAATCCAAGGCGCACAAGAAGAAAAATACCCCCAACCTCGGAAGGATGGTCGCCATTGCGGACTTGACAAGCCACCTGGCTTTAATTGAGGACGACGACAATTTGGGAGCCAACAACAACGGCGAAGAAAATGTCGCGCGCCTAGAAGAGATCCGCACAACACCTCTCTTTTCTTCTGGCGTTCAGATGGCCATGCAAATTCAGGCGCAGCAGGACGCGTTGCCCCAGTATGCCTTGATGGGCATGCGGACAGAGACATACGGCAGATCCGAAGGGGAAGCCACCTCAGAAACCCATATCAGACGATCGACCAATCTGGTGTATGCCAATATCAACGCGCCGTGGTCGACATTTATCTGCGGCAGTCAGGGAAGCGGGAAGAGCCATACGCTCTCATGCATGCTTGAGAATGCACTACTCCATCCGTCCGAGACGGGGACGCTGTCATCCCCTCTCACCGGCCTTGTATTGCACTACGATAAGTTCACGGGCGTGAACACGGGCCAGCTATGTGAGGCGGCGTATCTTTCGTCCAAGGTTCCGGTCCGTGTGCTTGTTGCGCCTAGCAACTTTGGCCATATGGAGAGACTCTATGCGAATATGCCGGGGTTGGCGGATGGGGCTCCAAAGCCTAAAGTTTCCAGTTTGTATTTCCGTGAGGACCAGTTAACGTTGGGGATGATGAAGGATTTGATGGCGGTTAGTGGTGAAGGGGCGCCTCCACTTTATATGGAGGTAATTCTCTTCTCTACCGAGCCAATGATTATTTCTGGTGACGCTGATCACAAAATATTTCCACAACCGTTCTAACAATGAAATTGTTTTTCAGGTCGTTACGAAAGTCCTGAGAGAAATGGCTGCAGAGGCGCTTGGTCCACGGGGGATAAATTTCAATGCTTTTAAAAAGCGTCTCTACGTCGCTGAGAACCTGAATAAAGGCCAACTAGGACCGCTGAATATGCGGCTCAATTTGCTCGAATCGTTTCTCGAAAAGACTTATAAAAAGCCAGCCCGAGGGCTTGCAGTGGGGAAGGGAAGGCAGGGGAAAAACATCTGGGACTTTCCGCCGGGATCTTTGACAATCATTGACCTGAGTTGCCCATTTGTGGACGAAAACGATGCGTGCTCGCTTTTCAATATCTGCCTGAACATTTTCATGGAGCGGCGGAATGAGAGCGGGCGCGTCGTGGCATTGGACGAAGCTCATAAGGTTAGAACAACTTTCTCCATTTCCCCCCTTGTTTCTCATTTTCCTTCGTGCTCAGTTTATGGCAACATAATCCTAATCCTTAGATTTAGTTCTTGACAACAAACAGCCGTGAAGGCGGGAACCTAACAGACACCCTGCTGTCACTGATCCGCCAGCAAAGACATCTAGCTACACGGGTCATTATCGCAACCCAGGAGCCCACGCTATCGCCCAGTTTACTGGACCTGTGCAACGTAACCATTGTCCACCGTTTTAGTTCACCTGCTTGGTTCACAACACTACGAGGGCATCTCGCTGGTGCAGCGATTGACGATAATAACAAGCCGAAATATGGCCCCGATAACTTATTTTCCAGAATCGTGACTCTAAAAACTGGCGAGGCTTTGGTATTTTGTCCAGGCGCGATACTTGATATCGTATCAGATGAAGCATTGGAAGAATCCACGCCATCACCAGGTGAGCCTGAGCCGCCGCACGGGGTAGCCGCGTTGAAAGCATTGAGAATTAGAGAGTTAGGACCGCGATATGTCCGGGTGAGAATCCGCAAACGGGTCACGGCCGATGGAGGACGAAGCATTCTTGCTCAAAACTGAGATAACCCCAATCGTATTGTTTCTAAGTGGAGGAGTTCCGGGCAAGCTGGGTTGGGCTTTGGGCCTGTTTTTATTTAACCTCTAGTTTCAAATCGTGCTAGCTTTTGGTCTAAATGTGGCGCTCTCTTGGTGTTTATTTTAGGTCAAATAAGTCCGAACTGTAGTCTTTAGGTTCTTTTTCTTTCTCACGCGAAATCTATTTACCTGGTTAGATACCTCCTTTGTTGTTATACTGTCAACTAGGTTCGAAAGATGTTGTTTTTATTAGAGCGTAGAGCGACTAGATAATGACTAATGACGTCAGGTAGACTACCTAGGTAAGACTAGTTCGACAAGTAGTTCACCTAAGCATCTATTGTGGGAGCCCTAGGCTTCCTAGTACGGACTAGCGTCCCGCACACTACATATGGCCACTAGATAGCTAGTTACACCAATACAACCACTCAGACGTCCAACAATCTGTGAGAGAGGTTGAACATGGTTGGTTGTTTTGATCGATCTAGTGGCTAGCGGCAGCTGATATATGTGTGAGTGGGCCACGTGGGAATAAGGGCTTGTGTAGAACCAACAGCAATCCCTCTACCGATCCAAATCCCATCGCCCTCAAGAGGCGTCTGTCGAACATTGACTCCTCGAGAAGGCCACCGACTCAGTTTCAAGGCTGCGACAGATAGTGAAACTATGTGCTGGATGTATGCAATTTCAAGCCTTTCAAATGCTGCTGCCATAACCTTCCAAGCACAGAGGAGTAGATAGTACCGTTGCGGTCACCATCCCTGCTCAACTTTTCTTGTGTATCGGCTCTTTTGAGCTTTGAAATGGACAACGGAAACCATGCTTCACATACTCCCTCGTTAAGAAGAGAGTCACCTGCGTATGAAAGCACAATTCTTGAAGAACATGTCGCCCCGAACGACCCTGAGGATGACGAGACTTGCCCTTTAGAGACCCGGTGGTGGTTGGCGAGTACTGCGTTTCCGTTGCTAGCGGTATGTGTTCCTCTATTTAAGCATTGGAGGTTATACCGCGATCCAACCTTTGGGCGTTCGGACCTCATTTTTCTACGTGAGTCGTATGCTAATAAACAATATCAGGGAACTTTCGGCCCAACCGCAAGCGCATTTAGCATATGTTCTCTTGCAGATCGATGGCGGGTCAAAATCCCCCTTGGAGGGTCGCTCGAAGATGCTGAACCCGTACCGGATCCTAAATGGTTGTATCAACGTTGCACTGTTTACATATTTTGCTCGAGTTTCTTTTGCTAATTCAATAAATGACTCTCCCTAGGGCGGTCGTTATCAACTCAATTTCTCTCGGCTTTGCATTAGTATCCAACTTTTCTCTCTTGCTGAACATGGCCAGGCGATTACCTTTCCCAATTGCCCAACCCATTACGATCGGAGGATGGTACATTTCTTCAGGTCTGCTTATTTGCCTGGCAGCTCTTCTCCGCCATCGTACGGACACGACCACCCACCGGATGACTCAAGCTTATTACTATGCAATTATAGCCGCAGCCATCTATTTTCTGGTCTCTTCACTCATGGTTGTGACCGTTTTTGGGGCACAGAGAAAACATTACAGCAAAGAGTTTCGTCTCACCACAAACCAGAGATCTCTAATGCTGCAGACTATCACCTGGTTAGTTTATTTGCTAGGTGGTGCTGCAATATTTGCTCACGTCGAAGAGTGGGCCTACCTTGACGCTGTATACTGGGCAGATGTCACTCTACTTACAGATGGTTTTGGAGACATAGCCCCCAAGACTCATACTGGTCGGAGTCTATTATTCCCTTACGCTGTCGGGGGGATCTTGACCCTAGCATTAGTTGTTACATCGATAAGAGATCTGATGATAGAACGCGGGAAAAACGCGATAATTGCCAGACGGACGGAACTGACCAGGAAACGAATCGCAGACCAAGTCAGACAAGGGACGGGAAGAGTGAGTGGGATTAAGCTTCCACCAATTTCCGATCCATCTCAGCTTTCTGAAAGCCAGAGGCAGGAAGCGGAGTTTTACCTTATGCGCCAGATACATAAAGTTGCTTCATTCAAAATAAAGTGGTTTTTGCTTGGTGTTGCTGTATGCGCCTGGATGGCACTGTGGCTCCTTGGTGCGCTCGCATTTTTTCTTGCTGAACAAGCCCAAAACTGGTCATATTTCGAGTCTTTATACTTCGCCTATACGTCGCTCCTTACAATCGGCTATGGGGATTTCACACCCGGTGACACATGGGGAAAGCCTTTCTTGGTTTTTTGGTCCCTGCTTGCCATCCCTACTATGACGATACTATTCTCCAGCATGGGGAGTACCATTGCAAAGTTTGTCGAGGATGCTACCAATTTTGCTGGTGAATTGACTGTTCTTCCTGGCGAGACGAGTTTCAAGGATGTAATAGCTTCCCCTTTACAACAGCTGCGAGAGCTGAGTTATCAAACGCCACGGGCGCTCTTGAACCACACTATTTCTCGAGCCCACCGTAACGAGAACATTCCAGCCTACCAAACGAGCCCATCGACTTCCAGAGTGTTTACTGGACATGGGGAACTAAGCACAAAGGACGAATCTAGAGTGAAAGATATACAAGAGGCAACCACAAATCCACACCAGCGCCGATACATTATCATTCGCGAAATTCGCAAAATATATCGAGACTTAAACGCCCAGCCCCCGAAAAGGTACACGTATGATGAATGGTATTTCTACCTATCACTTGTGGGGAAGATGGAATTATGCTCAAGCTATATAAATATTCCTCATTCCCAGATCGAAGAAATTCAAGGAATAGACCACCCCCGAATTGGTCTCCGAACTTCAGTAGGTGTCGAAAAGCCGAACGTCCAGAACAACAACTGGAGCTGGATTGGTACAAGGAGTCCACTGATTGGCGATAAAGACGAAGCACAATGGATCTTCGAAGCCCTGTCTGCTGCTTTAGAGCACGATCTCAAGCAGCAGAGCCTCAAGAAGTACAGCGAGCAAAATGGAGCATAACTGAGTTGACAACCCTATTCCGCAAATTTCTCTGATACCCATAGATTGCAGTCAGGGGCAGTGAGTATGAGCTTAATGGTTACCCGCTCTTTTGTTTCCTTTGTTGTCCTTGATCCTCATTTGTCTTGTCTCTATCTACTCTTTGCTTTTTGAGCCTAGAGGAGTTAGGTATTTTCTAAACTTTTCTTTGAAGGAGAAAATTCACGCGCACATATGATTTACAGTTCATTTGTCATTCATTCATTGTTTTATCACCATCGAACTTAGACACAACATACTCATTGTTGAGTGTATTCTGTTTCATGACAAAGAAGTATATATTTCAATATTTTTGCTTGATTGAGTCATGAGTTATTATATCACAATTAATCACTTGTTGAAATATTGCAGTGTTAGATTTTATATAAACAGCAACTGTGCTATTCACATCTTTTGTATGTCTTCATAATGGCTGCTTTATTGTTCACTGGCCCATTTGCAATGTCTCTTTCGATAGGTATTTGCCTTCTTTCCTTTCCACCAAATTTTTGGGCATTTCGTTATTTCTTTATTTTCCGTGTGTTTAATGGGCAGTTATTTACACATCATGGCCCCTTGTGATACCCTGATTGTCGTTGATACTTCGGATTGCGTGCCAGATAGAGGCACCTCGCCACATCTCTTGGATAGTAATATTTTTACATCGATCCCAGACACGGGCCAACTCCCCTCATCCCCTCCTATACCTAGCCCGTCGTCTCGTTCCACTCTTAAGAAGTTGCCCGCAAGGGCTGAATCCACCCTTTTTGTCTTTGCCACGACTACTCTCACGATTACTGCTACTACTTCTCCTAGTGGACTCTTATCAAGTCATCCACGCTCAAGTTATACGCCTGCAAGTTTCACGCCAACTTCGACAATAACGAGTTCTACTCTGTCACGTTCCACGCCATCAACTTCTGCGCCGGAATCGTCAAAACAAGCAGTGACAGCAACATCATCCAGACCCCCAGAAGCTACGGGCAGTGTGGTAGTGGCTAGCGAACGCTCTAGTTCAAAAGAAGTACCCCTGCCGATTCTTGCTCTGTTGATCATTCTAGCAATAGCCGCTGTCATGTTATCTCTAGCGATATGTCGTGTAAGGAAGAGTCGCAAGTTCTGTAGGCAATGCAGAGAGGCTATCGTTAGCCAAACGCTTACAAAACAAACGCCTCCAGCGCACGATCATGGCACATTTACGCTGTCGGGAGCAGCCAATCAATCACGTTTGACAGAAAGGATAAGGGGTAGTATGGGCTCATCCGCGTTGAATTTAAATGGCCAACTAGCCCAACCTCACATTCGCGATGAACCTCGAGGAATTCGTCAGTGGACGACAGTTGAAGAAAGTAACTCACGACCCCTTGATTCCCCAATAGCCACCATGGCTCCAAGGATCCCCCAGCTAAGCTGGGAACGCCCTAAACCTGATCCTATGAGCCTTTATGCCCGTGCTTCAGCTAGTGGCCGGGAGGAACAACGAGGCCGTTCATCGATCTCTGTTGCGTCTATAATCGACGAGTACGCTCAATTCCCCAACGATAATAGGTATCTCGATACCTTCCAAGTCGTCGGGAACAACGGTGTTCCAGGAAATCTACAAAACCTGACGGCTGATGAAATTTTTTTAGTGGATTTGCGAAACGGAAGTTTACGGCGTCGGACGCGGGATGATTACCCTTCTCAACCTAGTGGGGAGGATGATACAACACGCTGCGCGATCCGGTCTCCAACTGAACCATATACTCAAATTCGGGAGAGGCAAGAAGGGCAACTCGGAATAACGAAAGTGGGGGGTACTGCGCCCGTTTCTCGACATGAACAGTCTCCTACTAGTCAATATAAAGAGTCTTCGACGCAGACATCTAGACAGGTACATCAGGACCGGCAAACTGAATCAAGTTACAGCCCTACGAGCTCGTCATGTGCCAGTCAGCCCAGCTCGATGACATCGTGGGCTTCACCCTGGCCGGTGAAAACCGGAAATGTTAGCGATCGGCTTACTCCAAACTTTGTCGCCAGGCCAAGTATGAGTAGTCATACACCCGCCGATGCAACGCAGGATTCAGACGATAATATTAGCACCATGCTAAATCGTTGGGCACTTCTTGATCGACAAAACCTGGGTCTCGTTGATCAGGTCCCACTTCGATCTTACTCGGCGCGGGATAAGCTAAATGACCATTTAAACAACGAGCGCAGGCTTAAGCTTCATGTGTCGAATGTCCGAAGGTCAATGTCGACTACACTTCCGGAAATCTTGTCGAGGTTACCCTCCTCGGGAGCTAACAGGGCGGGAAAAAATGAGAATGCTGAATTATACGCACCGAAGAACTGTCGGAACAAACTGGTAGAGGAGGACCCAAATATTGGTTCAACCCATATCGAGACTTGCACTGCAATTGACGAGCATCTAGAACCGCCCAATGCTGAATTTGACGATGTCGACTCTCGCGATCACGTATTTGGCAGACCTTCCTTACAGCAGCGAACTTACAGCGAAAGCATATATTCGCGACCAACAACATTGCACCGGCTCCCAGAGGATACCCAGGCAGGGGATGAACAATGGGGAGGCCAAGGATATCCAAGGCTGAGACGTTATGCTAAGCAGTCTTATGGAAGCCCAGAAGCCGGACCTAGTCAGTCCACACCAGCTCCGCCATTCCGTAATGAAGCCGGCGACCGTGATTCGCCAACCGGTTACGAAAATAACCTCTACGGTGAGCAGGGTAGTCGAGAGCAAGGAGCCCCGACGAAGAATGATCAGTTTGGTAAGTTATCCCTCGGCGAACCAGGGACGATTCGCGACGATTCACTTCGTTGGCATACGCGTAATATGATTGCTCCTCGTGATCCTGTCAAGGGTAACGATGCTGGAGGTCCTGCGGACCCAGAGCCGAGATCATTTATTAGTGGGTTTAGGGACATATACGGGGGAAGTAGGAAGAAGAATGGAAAAAAGCCGATTGTAGGAGATGGTAGAAAGCGTAGCCGAGTTTTTTGGATGTGAGGAATTGACTCCAGAACTAGACTACCGAGGTAGTTTTCCGGAGATTTCACAATCCCTCTTCTGGATTAGGCCGCCAGGCATCGCTGCTTTATCCTCACCCTCTCCTCACCCTTCTCACCACCGCCTCCCTGTCTTCAATCACCTCACCGTTCCCGACCGGTCACCTGCTAGGAAGGCAGCATCTTCAATTCTGTCAAGTTTACGCGATGGACATGTTTCTACTCGGTTGGCCAGCAGGGGCGGGTGAACTCGCCTGTGCTGAAAGGGGTCTCTGGCCCCTTCCACTCCCTTTTCTCATTCTCTCACTGTCATTCCTGTCACTTTATTGTGTGTATGTCCTTGACCATACTGCACCGCTTATTATCTCTGACTCTTTTTGCCTGTTCCGGCCTGCTTTGGGCATCCCACAGGGGTGCCATCTATTGTTTATCATACGTTCTCCTTCCGCTTACGGTGTACGGATTCATTGCAATGGGAAAGAAGCTCACTCCTGAAGAAAGGGTGCGACGGGCCATTGAAGCCGGCTTTGATGCCAACAGTACTCAAGTCAGTGGAGAAAGGGTGCTTAAAAAGTTAGAGGATTCCACAAATCGTCACTATCAAAATGTCTGGAAAATTTGAGAGCGGTGAGTGTCTCTTGTTGGTTTATGCTTCAATGTTCCCCAAAAGCTGAGTGTTCCAAATTGTAGGTACAATCAAAACTACAAATGTGACATCTTTGATGAGGAGAAAAAGAAGAAGTTCATCATATTTCTTGCAAAGATGGCCCGTGGACGGAGCCCCAAGGGTCCAAAGGACACGTACATTTTGCTGTTGTGGAAGCAATTCACGGCTGAATGGGCCCGCAGAAAAGAGAAGCTGCCATCCCCTGTGACCAGCTCTGGCTCTATGGTAGTTGCCCCTATCAGTACCTAATCCCTTGCTTTCTAGAAAGAAGCGAAGAGCTAACTTGTTTATATATATAGTTCATTGCCCAAGAATTACACCTACATGCCGCTATCAATCGTGATATCTCCGCGAGAGACTTTGTTACATTGAACCATTTTAGAAACCTGATTCAGCAGCTATGGAAGAATGATTGGTACGAGTTTCCATTCCCAATATACCGGGTGTATTTCTCGGCGTTCCTCAAGATGTGTATGTATTCAACCGCTCGGGTGGGCGAGTACCTCGAGTCGACAGCGCGGCGGGGTTCAGGCCGAGGTCTCCGTGTCCCTCAGGTGCGTGTTGCGTTCCGTTCCTGACCACTGCTGAGCACAGGCTGAAAGAACCCAACTGGGAGCTAGGATATGACGTTCCTGGTTATTAACAATTCCAAGAGTCAAGCTGAAATCATAATTCGGCCAAAAAGAGATGCAAAGAACATGCGCAAGAAGGAAAACAAGCAGTTAGTCCCTACCAGAACCCTGATCGGGTACGCTCCTGGTTGACATGACCTGTGTTGCAACATAGGCCGCGGCATCCCATGCAGGAAGATGTAGGGCGTCTCCCATTGTTCCTGAACCCAGTCCTTGAGCCTCTAGCAATTTGCCTTGCGCGGGGACTCTTCCGCGACTTTAAGACCGCAGATGAGATATTTGCCCTAGAGCCACCGCCTGGGGAGGGACAGTGGCCTGACCGGTGAGATCCTTACGGCAACCTGGGCGGATAAAGGGCTTGCGAAGCTGGGCCGCCGTGCAGGGTATGAAAAATTGATCAGCGTCCATGATATGCGGGCAGAGGGCCTAGTCCGAACAAATGGTGAGTAGTCCACTGCCCGAGCTAACTGAAAGTTCAGGATATAGGCTCATTGTTTGCTGACTGACGGATAGAAAACGGGCATTCGATGGAGGAGTTGATGCAGATGGCCGGCCATGGGGGCAACCCACGAATATTCTTTGAGCATTATATGAGCTCAACCAGCAGTGTTCAGGGTGTGTCAAACATCCTAAAATTGGAGCGCCGTAAAGACATCGCAGAGCCCTTCCGTGGCTTGACATTGCGGCGTCACCCACAACTGTGGCAGGCTCTGCCTGCAAAACTGCAGCAGGACCACTTATACAATCCATGCCGATAATAAGTCCACCATAGAGCTATCCTCTTCCGAAGCAATTCCGCGCCGCTCGAAGCATATAGAGGTTCATTTCCACATTCTTCAGGATCTTGTCCGCAAGAACCAGATATCTATCTGATACATTTCATCTGCCGAGAACGCGGCGGATGGGCTTACTAAACCACTTGAAATGATGAAATATACACATTGAAAGGAGAATATTAAGATAAAAGAGATAGGGAGATAGAGGGATAAAAAATGATGAATCTCATGGCTGATTTTTCATTACTACACATTTTCCAGTCATTTTTTGTACCTGTACTTGATTTGAAGGCGAATTTTGTATGTAGCATCGTGTATAGTTACTCTGGTGAGTGGGGGTGTCAGGTCACGTGATCTGGCTTACTAATCCTTCCACCATATAACTTCCCAGGTAGTTCAAATTCAAAAGCTCATCTTTGTGAATCAGAGACCACTGTGTTGAAAGTTGTGCTTTATGCTTCTTCGACAGAGGCTTCTAGCCAGCTCGGAAGCGGTAGATAGTTGATAGAACTGGTGTGTGGCATGGCGCTAACTCATTGCATACTCGGGTGAATGCAATCAGTATTTGTATATTCAGAAACAATCAGTATTGAATAAGAAGGCTAGGAAGACAAGCACACGTTTTTTATTTCAGAATCAAGTTTAAATTTTGAGGATCTAGGCAAATGATGAAGTGCGAACCTTGATATGTTATTGTGAACTTTCGATGAGGTTGTTGAATTATTTTTTTTGGAGGGGCATTAGTGTTGGCCCGGGTTGATCGGCCCTTCTACCAGCATGCGCTGGTGGTGACTGAGCTCTTTTGCCCCAGTAGTTAGCCTACAATTAAGTGCCAAATCAAACTAGTCTTTCATCACGTGATAAATGACGTTCTCGGTGCCAAGTACGAAATTGTCAGGAAAAAGAGGTCATACACTACTGAACGCCACCAACATCGTATTACTACTATATTTCTTATCTGTAGAATAGTTGAAGGTTGTGTATTGATAGATCTATCTACAAGAACATAATATAGTGGTGGGTCACGTGATCTAGTGGGATCGCTAACCGCAACAGCCGTAAGGGCCAACACCCCCTCTTGAGATAACAAGAATCACATACAAAAACACCCAAATCACCAAGATAGTCTGTCAAAATCAAATACAAATGTAAAATTAAACATTCCCAACTTTTATGTCTGTAAGACCTAGCAAAATCATGAATTATACAAGTGTCACAGTGTTTAGAAGTTTAGTGAGTTCATTCATCATTATCTGAGTGATGAGAATGTATTCTAAATCAATGACTTTCTGATTTAACTGTCAATGTGAAAAATGAAAACACATATCAATGTGCTTACTTCAGACTGTAATAACTGCTATCTTTGTAAGATCTATGACACTCTTATTATCAGTGAGAATTCATATCAGAGATATAGTGATAAAGTCAAGCTTAATCATGAGATTCTGAATTTATATTGTCTCATAGACTGTCTTACTAAGAGTCATATATTCAGTCTCATTGAAACTTAGAGATACACAAGATTGCTTTGCTGAATATCATGAAATCAGATCATCTGTGAGCTTAAAAACATAGCTGAATATTGATTTTCTATCACTATTCAAGAGACTGGCTCAATCAGAATCTGAGTAGCTGAAGAGTAGGTAGAAATCATTGAGAAAATCAGAGATAATAAAAAGATCAGTAGAAATGAAAAGATTGATAGAAGTGAAAGAAACAGACTTCTCATACAGATCATATCTGTAGAAAATACTCAGATTTATAATCTCTTTCAAATAATATATAATATGTAATAGAGTCTTTTAATATTGAGATGTTGAGTTAACATTCTATTGAATAAGTAGTAAGACAGTATAAGTGATATCAGAACATGTTTTAACTACAAGATATTATAAACAACTCATATTATATTAATATCACTGAATTGTGAAATCAGTCTCTTTCTCAGATATAGAGAAATTATTAATATAAAATTCATTCTTCATTGATGTTCTGATAACAGCTGTATCATCAAGATAGAAATCTTTAATAAGATATTTAATATATTGATAATATATCAAATTAATTCTCTTATCTGAATAATTAATCTTCATACTTAAATACTTGATTGACTGATGTAGATTCTTGACTTTCAATTTCTTACTAAGTATACTCACTAGTCAATCAGCATTCTCAGAAGCTTCAGATATAATGTTAAGATTGTCAATGTAGATTATCATATAGAGATGATATCTGAATATATAATATCAGAGTACTGAATCATGAGTGCTAACTGTAAATTCAAGATTACTTAATAGAGCTGTTAAGTAATTATATCAGATCTTCACTGCAGAGTTCAAACTATATAGACTACTCTTAACTGCACAGACAAGTGTTTTTGATGAATCTGTCTCAAATCTGATAAATTATCTCATATAGATCTTCTTAGTGAGATGCTTATGAAGATATATTATCACTATATTCACTTAACAGAGTATTCAACTGTGTAGTACTGCTATTATAAAAAGAATACAATTGACAGTATCAGTGATAACAGAAGTGTAGATCTCTTCTCTAGAATTCTTCTTAAGTCAGTTATTATAAATCACTTAACATGATTTTCTAAAAATATTATCAGAATCAGTATTCAGGTCTGTGAGTCTATCTTTCTTAAGAAACACTTAATGACCTGAAGTAATCAGTTTATCTCTCAAGATATCAGATCTAGAAATCAAACTTTATATATTATATCTCTTCAGATTAATAATCTCATGTTATATAAACTTCTTTCAATAATCTTCTACTCTCTCTGACTGTGATATAGCATTCTTATAGAACTTCGAGAGATTACTTATAATAAGACTTAAAGTGTATGTAGTCAGTGATTTCACAGGCTGCAACTATATGAAATTTGAATTATTAATATTGAGAGTATCTTCATTATCAATCAGATGAATATCAGGTTCTGATTTATCAGTATTATTAATAGATGTCACAGATGTGACAATCAGTTCTGATTTTTCAGTGATTAGAAATCTCACATTACTACTAACAATAATCTTATCAGATTTAGAATGTCATAGACAATATATTGATATATCACTGAATTCAATAATATGATACAAATCAGCATGTGAAGAGAGCTTATTCACAGACTGCTGAAATTCATATAAGTGAATAAAAATCTCTGCACTTAATCAGTGAAAATGTCTCACATTCAGCAGGGTATTTATAAGTGCACATTAAGAAATCTTATATGAACTTGAAATCACAGAGATCTCTGTAGTAGAGGATCAAAATTTCAAGTTATAAAGAACTGTAGATATAAGAGTATTATTAATTATTACAATCACTGTCTCTAGAATATCTGTTCAGAACTTCTTAAAGAGATTATCTTTCAAAAAAGCAGCTCTAATCTGTCTTATAATAGTATAAATCTCATGTTTGAAAACATTATTATTATTATTATTATTATTATTATTCTTTCATTATACTCATATGCAAGCGGAGCTTATGATGAGTCCTTGCGTGATGTTAAATACAGGCCAAGTGTTGGTTATACAGGAGGAAATACAGGTGTTGAGACCACGCCAAGATAACAAGAACATAGGAAATACAAAGGAGTGACAATTAAATACATACGATAATAACTTCCCAGCCCAGGAACATAGAGCAATTTTATTGAAGCGATTTGTACACCTCTGTATTTATTAGGAACCTGAGGTGCTTGGGTTCCGGATTTAATATATCCCCTGCGGGTTTCGAACCCACACGCCCTGGTTTCCCACGCCAAGGCGCTACCGGGTGGCTGCATTAACCATTCAGCCACTGAGACATGTTTGAAAACATCATTCTGATGTGATGAATGTGATGCTGTTGATTCTCATTTAATACTATATGAATTCATAACTGTGTGCATATGTGTGAATCAGAAAACATCATCAATATCAGTCTGTAGAAAAGCAGAGACTGTATATCTGAGATTACTTATGAATCTGAGTTACAACTCAAAGTATTGAACAGCCTCATTCTTGAACTTTAAAAAATATACTCAATAGTAGTGAGTTGTATTACAGATGATAAGTATTCAGTATTTGATTCTCTGATGAGACTCTAAGAGATAATCAGAGAGATCTTTCAATATATGTCTGTCATCTGTAAGATTAATATAAATCTTCTTAATAAGTTAAATAGATCTAGATATCAGTGTTTTCAAATAATCTTATATTATATCTGTCTTGACACATTTCTTATAAAAGAACTTAGTCTTAGAATCTTTAATTGTAACTTCAGTATGAGAATTCTTGATCATAGTAATTATAGTATCAGTGTGAATATGACTGAGATCACAGTGTCAGTTCAAAAGAGTCTTTGATGTTCTTATATTCTTGAGATCTGTATTTGAGACTGTAGAATTAATGTTATTAACAGTAGTAGCAGTGATCACAGAAAGATTAACTTTTCAGTTAAAATCATACTTATAAGATATTATTACAATATACTTGACTACTCTGTTCAGATAATTGAGATTCTTATTAAACTCTTACTCATTGATCTTATATATGTTATTCTGAGCAGTCTGAACTGTATGAAAAATAACACTGTTCAGAGCTCTGCAAATGAAAAATAAGAGAATAGTAAAAGATAATATAAATTGAAATCTCTGATCTTCAAGCTTTGTAAATGAGAGCAGATTAACTGTAATATTAGAAATATAGTGAACATTCTGTAAGTTAATATCATTACTCTCAATCTTCAAGATAACAGTCTTAATCTTCTTAATAAACTCAGTTTTCTCAGTCACAGAATTGACAGAGATATTATCATTGAAAGATTTGATATTTATAAAAGAATGAAGCTCATCTGTCATATTCAGACTTATACATATATTCAAATATCAAGATCTAGAGAATGATTTTTCAGTGACTGTGAAAGAGAAATAGAACTTAATCTTTATAATTACTGCATTTACTATTGATTGAGAACTTATTAAGTCATTCTTCTTCTCTTTCTTTTTATCATTCTTCTTATCATTCTTCTTTTTCTTTTTATCAGAGTGTAAGATGAAATATCTGTTAACAGTATATTTATATCTTCTACAGTGAGTGCACTTTTATACAGATATGCTTTTATTCTCATCTTTATTCTTATTCTTTTTCACAGTCACAGAATCAGTCTGAGACTGCTTTTTTTAGTGATAATCTTTTTAAATGTATGATTGATCAGTTACTTCATTAAATTATTAATATTAATATTGACAATGAGTTTCTGATCAGTAGAG